CCCCGTTTCCCAGTATAATTATATTGAGAACTAGAGCTTCAACATATACATTTGGAGGGGACAGTATTCAGTCCATAACACTAGTCATTAACAAACAGCATGCAAATGAAGATAATTTTAATTTGTGATTATTGTCCCATTGTATAAACCTCAGTGTTCCATTGTCTCTGCTGTCATAAAGAATTTGCTTTGAGAAAATTTGGATCCTTATTTCCTTCACTGACAATTCCATTTCAATTAATTATACTAGATACATTTATTCAGCACTCAATGTATTCTAGGAATTATTCTAGATTCCATGAATGTACTAAAGCTCCTTTTCTTAACTAACTCATAGTCTATTTAGACTGTTAGAAAATCAGAAAATTGTTGCCTTCAAAGATATGTAGGAGCCAGGCATGATAGTGCATGCCTGTTATCCCAGTAACTCAAGAAGGAGGTTGAGGCAGGAGGATTGAAAGTTTGAGGCCAGGAATTTAGTGAGACCCTGTCTCAAAATCAAAAATAAAAAGCGCTGGAGAGGGGTCTGGAGTTGTGGTCAGTAGTAGAATACTTGCCTCACATGTGTGACGCACTGGGTTCAATTATCAGAATCGCTTATAAATAAATGAATCAAATAAAGGTCCATTAACTGTAAGGTCAGGTGACCAAAAGGAGGAAGATTAAAAGCTGTTGACTAAGGCTTTATTGAGATTCCCTTGGGGGCAAGACCCTCCAGTCCAACAGAGTTGCACCCAGGCTCAGCCAGATTGGAATTTGGCAGGGGGCTTAGAGCAGGAATGGAGAGCTTGGGACAGAAAAGGGAGGTTTTTAGAGTCCCTTGTCCTCCTCGGATCTTGCTGAGCTGCGTGTCCTTCCAGGATTGGTCAGGAGACCCCGCTTATTGACAGGTGGTTATGCAGCACCTGATTGGTTGTTCTTTCCTGCCTGTGGGTTGCCTGGTGCTTTGTCCCCTTAGCCACCTCCAACATCAACAGCTAAATATATCCAACTAAATTTACTCCAGGGTAAATGATGTCACTGAGAGACCCGATGGCAGATGGTAAGGATTGAAAAGGGGGTCAAAAGCCCCAAAACTTAGTATAAATATATATATTTGTAAAAAGGGCTGGAGATGTGGTCCATGGTAAAACACCTCTGGGTTCAATCCCCAGTACCAAAAGAAAAAAGACATGTAAGGGTTCAGGAATGATAGACTGTAAACCACTGTACCTAATAACCCAACTTGCTTATAGAAAAGAAAAATCCCTTTCATTGGTTCACCTGTTTAACCAGTATTTATTGAGTGATAACTTTGAGCCTAAGACACAGTGATAAGGAAATAGGCTGAAGTTCCTGCTCTCATGAAAGAGACAAAGAAATAAATAAATAAACAGACACAAAATGTAATGCCAGATAGTGGCAAATATTGGGAATCAGAACCAAGGTAAGGAGAAAGAGGACGAATTACACACCAGGCTGCCAAGCACGATGGCATCAGGAAGCTTGTCCCCAGAGGCAGCCCCTGGGCAGACTTGAATGAAGTGAAGGAGCAAGCCACATGCAGGTGTGGAGGGGAAAGTTCCAGGTGGAGAGGAGGAGCACAGGGCCTTGGGCAGGAGTGTGGTGACCTTCAAGGTCAGCAAAGAAACCCTGTGACTGACAGAGCCCAGGGAACCAGCAGGGGGGGACAGATCAGCTCCCCTCAGGGCGGGCCCTCAGGAGCCAGGGCAACAAGGCTCTCATAGGATTTTACTTTACAAAAGCAGAAGCCACTGAAGCATTGTGAGGACAGCCTTGGGCCTGAGCCTAGCAACTCCATTTTAAAACTCCAGTTTGAAACCTGCAGTCTCACCAGGCTCACCTAAGGGAAACTTCCAGAATGTTCCTCAGGCACAAACAAGTCCCTTCTCCCCACCCTGACAAACCCAGAGTGAAGCCTCTGCCAGGCTGTCAGCCCCCCAGATAAGGGGGGAAAGGCAAAAAGATCAGGGTGGGGCCACCAGACCAGATGTTTTAACCCCAGGGTAAATGATGTCACTGAGAGATCGGGTGGCAGTGTAATGCCAGATTCGTGGGACCCCAATAGACCTCCAGGAGCAGAATCCGATGCAATCACGCAGGAGTCCTTATTGCAAGCTCCAGCCTGGACTCACAACCGTTTCCAAAGCAGCGGTCCCAGGGAGTGAGTCCTGGTCCTTTGTTCAGTGAGATTTATAGGGTTTTTTGCATCACTACATCACACAGCAAATAATTTCACACTGCGGGAAAATCAAACAACAACTCTTAACTTTGATTAGCACGTTCACTGGCAGGAACAAGTTAGGTAGGGATGATTGGTTAGTACAAGAGGGATTCCTTTGAGCTGATTGGTTTAAGCCACGAGGGGTGTACGTGCTAAACTACATGGTTTCCCAACATGTTATCAAACACCATAAACTACTGGGGGTCATCTGGCATCCCAGGTATTTTCCCTGTCTCATGCTGATTGGTGGTTGCTAGGGGTTGCTATGGGTCCACACCTAGCTTGACTGACGCAAAGACACCTGGCGCAGCAGATCTCTCCTGTTATTTGTAGATAAACAACTCAGCAAGGTGGGTATGTGCCTAGGAGTGCTCTGTGGGTCTTTCCAAGGACAAGGGTCACGCCCCCTTCCTTGGACAGGCTTTGCTCTGAGGTAGAGGCTGGTTTCTCAAAAATGGAGTCACATCAGTTTCTCAGCAGCTGATAATGATTGAAAGGGGGTCAAAAGTCCCAGAGGTTAGTATAAATATTAAAGCAAATGAACAGACACTCAGCCAGCCGACACTGATGCCCTCACGCTGAGAGACTGGTGAGGACCTGGGCTGACATCTCAGCTCTTCTCCTTGTTTGCTGATCCTCTGCGTCTTCCTCACGGCTCTCAAACTCTCCAGCCACATCTTGACCCTAGCGAGAGCCACAACTTCCCCCTACGACCCTCTCCTCAGCCAGCCCTCAGCTCCACCCCAGGAGAAGCCTGCCTTGGTTCCTGACCTGATCACCAGGTCTGAGTGAGTGTGCATCTGCTGGACTAGAGCCTAAGGCTGGAGACTTTAGATCTGACACTTGAGCTTAGCGCACGGAGGAAATGTTTATCAAGAGCCTGTTATGATTAAGTGTGTTCTTGCTGGGTATGTGGCTCAAGTGGTAAAGCGTTCGCCTAGCATGCGCGGGGTGCTGGGTTTGATCCTCAGCACCACATAAAATAAAAAAATAAAGATGTTGTGTCCACCAAAAACTGAAAAATAAATATTAAAAAATATATACATTTTTTTAAAAAGTGTGTTTGCAGTGCTTAAGTTAATCTAGAATTGTTTGCTGTGAATGGATTATCCTATTGCAGTGCCTAGCATTAAGGATTGTCGTTTCCTTGATTAAGAACCTAGAGAGTGAAGTTGTATTGAGTGATTTGAGTGAATAAAGTATTGATTGGAAGGGGCAGAAGCGCATGGAGATTCTTTACTTTTCCCCCTGAACTGCATCTTTTGCCCATTGCAACAAGCATTCGGAGAAAAGAAATAGTATCTGTTTTGTATTTTTCAAGTCTCTGTTTGGCTGCTGTGTAGAGAAACAGGGGAGGGAGATGAAGTCAGATACAACTGCAAAGGTTGAGTGGGAAACAATACCAGAGGCCGGGGTGTGTGTGTGTGTGTGTGTGTGTGTGTGTGTATAGGCAGGCCCAACAGTGTAATGATGAACCCAGCCTAATTCCATCTCAAGATTGGAAGCCATCTCATCTCAAAGTCATGAAAGTTAATTTCTGTTTTACTATAAATTACTGTGATTTCTAAACTTGTTTGAAATTCCTGCCCTTGTCTTGAGCTCACCCCTGCCTGGCTCCCCTGACCAGATATCAACCCTCTCTGAAACCTCAGTGGTACCCCATAAATTCTGACGTTGGGATGTGAATTTACTCCCTACCTTGAAATATCATGCCATCTAGATCATTAACCTGCTACCTGCCTTTGTATTGTGCTTGTCAGAATCCTGTCGGCTGCAAGTTCTCAAGACACTCTCCTTTGCAACTTTTTGTGCTATAAAACCTTGTTCCTGGAAAGCTGGGGGGCTGGCCTCTAGCCCGTGATAAAGGAGACAGCCGCTGATCAGCTCTCTTTGTGTACACAAATACGAGCTTGCTTCAATTTGATTTAAAATTGGAGTTGGTGGTCTTTTCTTTGTGTCAGGGTTCAACAGTAATCCTAATTGATTAGAAATTTTATCATAAAATGTTACACACGTTACACACATGCCTACAACATTCCTGCTAATCTGTCGTGTCATCCAAAACCAGGAAAGCATAAGAAACTGTCCCAGCCGCGAGGAGACTAAGGAGATACGACGACAAAGTGAAAGGTGGGGTTCTGGATGGGCCTCTGGAACGGAAAAGGACAGTAGGTAAAAACCAAGAGTCTTCAATATTAGTCCATCGATTGTGACAAATGAAATATAATAAGGAAAGCTGAGAGGTGACATTTATATGGTAACTTTCTGTAGTATAATTTTTCCATAAGTTCATTTAAAAAGGTAAGCCCTCCAAACAATGTGACTGATATCCATGTATAAATGGAGATGGTTACACAAAATGTGAATAGACTTAACACCACAGAACTATGTACATTAAAATGGTTAATTTTAGATTACATTATATTTTGTAATTTTTTTTAAAGGTTCCCTTTTGCTTCAAACTTTTTTCTATCCACAAGGTTTAGAATTGGGTGACTTGGGGCTGGGAATGTAGCTCAGTGGTACAGTAATTGCCAAACATGCACAAGGCCCTAAATTCAATCCCTAGCATGGGCAGTTGGGGGCACTAGGATTGGGTGACTTGCTGAAGTCAGAGCTGATATTTGGATGCAGGTTTGGCTGCCTCCAAAGTCCAAATTTTTTTTTCTTTATATATTTTTTAGTTGTCGATGGACCTTTATTTTATTTATTTATATCTGGTGCTGAGAATCAAACCCAGGGCCTCACAGAGCTAGGCAAGCATATGGCTACCATTGAGCCACAACCCCAGCCCGCCAAAGTCCAAGTTCTTAACCACTCTGCTTCATTGTTATGAAATTTCTTAAGAGAGTCTTCCTGTCACTAATTGAATCCTCCTTCAACACGTCCTAGCAACTAATGCCCAGGTGGTCTCCAGGTCCCTCAGAACATCTCACTCTCTTGTGCAGGGGATTTAAAAGGAGATCCACTGCTACCCATTCACATTAGGCATTCAGAAAGCCCTTTGTGGTCCAGGTGCACACCAGTAGCTCAGGAGGCTGAAGCAGGAGGATCGCAAGTTCAAATCAGCCTCAGCAACTTAGTGAGGCCCTAAACAACTTAGTAAGACCCTTTCTCAAAATTAAAAAAAAAGACTTGGGGATGTGGCCAAGTGTAGTTAAGTGCCCCTGGGTTCAATTCCTGACCCCCAAACACCCCAAACACGAAAACCCTTTATGAAATGATTGCAACTGACCTTTTAAGTCAAATGAATCCCTTTATTTTTCTTTGACAAGTCAACACGCACCCAGTACTGGATCTTTTCCTAATTCAACTGTTTCTCTCTCAAAAGTCTTTCCTTGGGTTTGTCTGAGCAGGCCCAGCTCAAACTGAAAAGTCTGCCTTATCCCATGAGCCAAAAGTAATTATTCAGAGCTTCTCTTCACGAAGGATAATTGGTCCTGAGGAGAAAAGCCACAAAGAGAATCCACTTAAAATAGAGACCAAAATGACATAGTTAAGAAGCTTAAAAGGCCTGATTGTAGGAAGACAATCTAGGATTAAGCCCAAACAAACCTACCTTAATACCACGGGTAGAGCACTTATACACGTTTGTTATTCTTAATAAAAAAACATGAAAAGTGTCTATTTAAAAGCATATAGGCTATATTATTTATCTTTCAGCTACATAAATGTGATTATTTAAACAAAAGGACCAGTTAAAAGAGACAATAATAATTAATAGGAATAAACAATGTCTAAGAAATACAGAACAATTTTATATATTTCTATACTGATACAGCAATTAACTTTTAAAATTCATATTGAATATTTACTTCTCTATATTCTTTTATAAAAAATATTTTTAGTTGTAGTTGGACACAATATTTTTATTTTATTTATTCTTTTTTTTTTTTTTATGTAATGCTGAGGATTGAACCCAGCGCCTCGCATGTGTTAGGCAAGCGTTCTACCACTGAGCCTCGTCCCCAGTCTTCTCAATATTCTTAAAATGCAAAAAATAAGCTTTTGAAACTACAGTGGCCTGTTTGTCTCATGATTTCATGGGATTTTTTTTTGTGTGTGTGCGCGTGTGTGTGTGTGTGTGTGTGTGTATGTTACTAAGAAAGGAACCCAGGCTTCACACATTCTAGGCAAGTGCTCCACCACTGAGCTACACCCCCAGCCCTTTTTATTCTTTTATTCTGAGACACACTCTCACTAAGATATCCAGGCTGCCTCGTACTTATAATCCTCCTGCCTCCGCATCCTGATTAGCTGGTGTTACCCACCTGTGCCACAACACCCAGTTTAATAGGATATTTTTAAACTATTTTTTTTTCTTTGAGATGAGGTCTCACTATGTTGCCAGGGTGGCCCCAAACTCCTGGGCTCAGGCAATCCTCTTACCTCAGTCTCCCAAGCAGCTGGGACTACCACTGGGCGCCAGATGCCTGGATGTGTAACGTTTTACTCTTCTGCCTTCCTTTTCCAGTAATACCTCTGTGAACCACCTGCAACCTGGAGCACACCATTCTTTTTTTGCAGTGGTAAAACTGAACACAGTCAGATGTGAAATTCTCCTGGACTTGTAGCTTGCTCTTATCAAGTCCACATTACACAGACTCCTGGTGTCAGTCCAATGTGATGACATCACTTGGAATATTCTCTCAACAAAAACACTGGGCATGGAATACTTAGGGTTTTGCAACAGCAGATCTTCAGACTTGTAGGAATTTATTTCTAGCTCTCCAAAATATGTCCATCTATCTTTTATCTACTGGCTTGTCTGGGTGGACCACCTGTTTGTCAGTCAGTTCTCTACATCCTCTACATCATAAAGGCTATGCCTGTCTAAAATGCTCATTATTTCTAAACATTCTGAAGTACAGTGAATGTTATTAAGTTAAACCTCTCCTTGGGGAAAATGGTTTTAAATCACAGAGGTAATTTTTTGTTTGGAGGGTTTAGGATTGAATCCAGAGGCACTTTACCACTGAGCCACATCCCCAGCCTTTTTCTTTTCTTTTCCTTTCCTTTCCTTCCTTTCTCTCTCTCTCTCTCTCTCTCTCTCTCTCTTTCTTTCTTTCGACAGGTTCTTACCAAGTTGCTTAGGGCCTCCTTGCTAAGTTGCTGAGTGAGGCTGGACTTGAATTTACAATCCTTCTGCCTCAGCCTCCAGAGCTGCTGGGATTAGAGGCATGTACTACATGCCCAGCCAAGCACCAGAGGCAATCGGAATTAAGCAACCTTCTTTCAAAAAAAACAATGAGTCATTTTTTCACTGTTAGGAGTTTGTATTGCAACTTATTCATAATATTGAATAACTCAGGTGCAGTCAACCTGTCCTTTCTAGGCTCCTTATGGCTTCTTCAAAGGTCTAAATAGTTCTGGACAAAAAGCATATAAATTTCTATTGTAGTTTAACACTTTTCTTCATTCTCATCCTCAATTTCCAGATTAAAGGTGGACATTCTCAGTTTTTCTATTTATATATTTATTTATCTGTGATGCTAGCGATCCAACCCAGGGCCTAGTGCATGTAAGGCAAGCATTCTACCAACTGAGCTGTATCCTCAGCCTGACATTCTCCCTTTCTTGCATTTTTTTTTAAATTTTTTTTTTTAATATTTATTTTAGTTCTCGGCGGACACAACATCTTTGTTGGTATGTGGTGCTGAGGATAGAACCCGGGTCGCACACATGCCAGGCGAGCGCGCTACCGCTTGAGCCACATCCCCAGCCCCCTTTTCTTGCATTTTGAGAAGGAGATTTTACAGCAAAACAACATTGTAACATCGTTTCTATGACTGGCAACAATGTCAGCCACAGGACAGGTACAGATCTAAACAGTCTATCTCCTTCTATTGCTACAAAGTAAAAAAAAAAAAAAAAAAAAAAAAAAAATTTATCTGCATCTTTTGAGGAAACTGAGAAGTAATGAAAAACTTTTATTAAGAAGGCCTCAATATCATGGAAAAGTAAATCACACCCCTTTTCAGCAGTCTTGTGTACAAGCTGAATAGGACATTAAGCATGTAAGATCTTTTCATTTTCTTTGGTAAGAAGCTTATAGACAGAATGGAATTTGCCAAAATTTACATGTGTACTCTATGCTGAATACATAGATAGGCAAAATCTAGTCTGTATGTGGACAAGCTGTCAGTAATTTTTTATTTTTCTGTGGTTTCATCAAAATCTTCACAGATATCAAGAAGACCATTTGAAACACAGTTTTTCAAATCAAAGTACCAAAGAGCTAGGGGGAACAGTTTTGTTTTGTTTTGTGTGTGTGTGTGTGTGTGTGTGTGTATGTGTTGCTGGGGATTGAATCCAGTGCTTTGTGCATGTAAGGCAAGCACTCTACCAACTGAGCTAGATCCCCAGCCCTCGAACAGTTTTTTATTGCCATGATTCACCACTTGATATACTGTAGAGAGCATGATCACTGGTAAGATCTGACCAAATCAGCTCTGCACTGCATGGTGCTAACACACCTGTTATCAAAATCTCCCCTTTTGTTCGCCCACAGGACATTTAAGTTGCAACTTCTGAATCAGGAAATGCAACTTTACTCAGTCTCCCATAAAACAATCAAGGGGATGATATGATGATGAGTATTTATGTAGTATGCTCAAGCTAATTCAGTGGCTACTGTTTTCAACTGAACATTGATGTCTTTGGGGGGTACCTTTTGCACTGATTCAAAAGAACTTTCATGTCTCATCCTGGACTTGGGAGATTCAGTCTCCATGTGTACTTTTATATCCCCTTCTCCATCATACCCAAACCCACATTTCTCGGGGGAGGAGAGATACTGAGGATTGAACTCAGAGCCACTCACCACTGAGCTACATCCCCAATACTTTTTATTTTTGAGACAGGGTCTCACTAAATTGCCCAGACTAGTCTCAACATCAATATTCTCCTGCCTCAGCCTCCTGAATTGCTGGGATACAGATAAGCATCACCACACCCAGCTCCTCCCCAATTTCTTTTCTGTACCTCCTGCATGATCATGCTCTCTACAGCATATCAAGTGATGTGGTGAATCATGGCAATAAAAAACTGTTTGCCTTAGCTCTTTGGTACTTTGATTTGAAAAAAAAAAAAACAAACAGAGTTTCAAATGGTCTTCTTGACCTGTTTGAATAATTTACGTCCCTAAGTCAATTATATGTGTCTTGCACCTGTCATTAAAATAAAGTAGCTGTTTACCTTTTGGTAATGTCTGGGTCATGCTGGCCCTGGCGGTGTACTCAGGATACTATCACAAAGTTAAAATTAGATGAGCAAAAGCACAACAGTTAACTGGAGGGTTAACACCGATTAGAACTTAAGCTGCACCCGCTTCAGAATTTAAGTTGCTCTGAAGGAATCCATCAATGGAGGACCCATTACCATAAACCTAGGTAACGAATGCCAATTCAGCCTCCAGCAAAAGACAGACCACTGCCATATTCATTTACTGCTAAAAAAAGTATTTTTTTTTTTACCATTTCATGCTCTTTTTGGGGCTACCATGTGGTTTTATATCACCCCTCCCAACTTTCCATGCTCTGCTGAAAACCACGACTTTTTGCACCCAAGAATAGTTTCCTGAAATGTGGAACTTTCAAGAACAATCCCAGACAATCCAGAGTAGCTGCTCACTAAAAAAATAATCGCTTACTCTCCCATTTTTGTGGGTGACAGTCTGCTTGCTATTTTCATGTTTGCTGTTCCGACTTTAGCAAATTATATTTCAATAATCTTTATATTTATCTGAGATAAATCGAATAAAAATGGTGAATCACATGTTTCTGGCAATAGTCTCTAAAGGCGTTGAATAGAATGCAATTTGTGTGTGTGTGTGTGTGTGTGTGTGTGTGTGTGTGTGTGTGTGTGCGCTGGGGATTGAACCCAGGGCCTTGTGAATGCAAGGCAAGCACTGCACCAACTGAGTTATATCCCCAGCTAGAACGCATCTTGGCATCACTACTTGGTACACCTGCTCCACAGCTTATTTCTTTAGCTCTGTGACTCCTTGGCAAGTCAAGGTTGGTTGTTTCTAAAGTTTTCCCTGCACTGTTTTCTGCTATTTCCAACAGCTCCATTCAGTCTCCAAAAGACAAACATAGACTCATTAATTCCATACATTCCCCCCAAAGCTAAGAATATCAAAGCATCATTTTGTTATAACAGCAATATAAAATGCTTACTCATGTTTTTAAATCACATGATAATGATGTAAAAGTAAAAAAAAAAAAAAAAAGGTAGAGACAGAATAAAAGAGAAAGGTAAGTCAATGCCTTTTCTCCTACAGTCACCAGGTAGCTTTAGTCAAGGTTTGAAAATGCTTCTAAGAGCAGGGCATGGTGGTACACACCTGTCATTCCAGCAACTCAGGGAAGACTGAGGAGTATCCCAAGTTCCAGGCTAGCCTCAGCAAATTAGCAAGACTCTAAGAAATTTAGGGAGAACCTGTCTCCAAAAAAAATATAAAAAGGGCTAGGGATGTAGCTCAGTGGTAAAGCACCCTTGGGTTCAATTCTCAGTATCCTCTTTTTTTAAAAAAAAAAAATGCTATAAATGGTTAGGCGGATAGCTCAGTGGTAGAGCACTTACTTACTATGTACAAAGCTGTGGCCTGGATCCCCAGCACTAAAAAAACAAAACAAAACAAAACAAAAAAACAGAAATGCAGCTAAGAGCTGGTAAACTAATGTTAGTCATTAATAGACATTTAAAAAGTTTCATTAAGTACTGCCTGCAGGGTTTGGCGGATAGCTCAGTAGTACAGCTCATGTTTAGCTGAGTTGGGTCCTCAGCACAACCATTAAAAAAAGAAAAAAGAAAGAAAGAAAGAAAAGAAAAGAAACAATATAACAATTTTAGCCTAACCACACACTGGGTCCCCGCCCCCCACTGTTTCTCCTTTTCTTTCCCTTTTGTACTGGGGATGGAACCCAGGGGTACTTAACCACAGAGTCACATCCTTAGTCCTTTATATGCCTTATTTCAGGGTCTCACTAAGTTGCTTAGGGTCCCGGAAAATTGCTGAGGCTGGCTTTGAATTTGCGATCCTCCTGCTTCAGCCTCCAAAGCCACTGCGATTACGTGTCTGTGCCACCGCACAACCGCTGTGTGCCTCTTTTAATGACAAATGTTGTTTTCCTGGACCTCTCCCTCGATCTAGCCGGTTTCTCTCGGTATACCCTTGGGCCAAGGTCGCGTCGCGTAGCTCTTTAATAGTACGACCTTCTCCAGGAGCAGGACCTGCTCCGGGATCGGTGCCGCGGAGACGGGTAATCCCTCCGGGGCAGCAGCGGCGCCTCTCGGTCTAGGCGCTGAGGGATCACGTCGGGCTCTGTGGGTGAAACCTCCAGCAGCACCTAACTCCACCGGGGGCGCCTTCTCCGTCAGTCGAGACCCTGACCCGCTTCTGTCCCGGGGCCGCCTCCCACTCCTGGACGCCGACTGGGACCCGGACTGAGAGCTCCTGCAAGAGGGGCTCCCGTGCCCGTCTTTCGCGTGGCTAAGACATCTCTGCTCCCGGCTTATCTTCCTTTCTTTGAAAACGGTTGCTTCCCGAAAATCCAGGATATCTCCTAAATAAATAGTGGTTCTCAACCTTTTCCCCCCGAGGGCGTATCGGGCAAAGCCTGGAGACACCTTTGGTTGTGACAACCGCTTGCAAACACTGGGTGGACGGCAGGTGAGCACAAGACAGCCGCCCACAAACAGAATTATCCGACCCCAAACGTGAGTAGGGCCGAGGCTGAGAAATCTTTCCCTGAAACAAATCGCCAAGGTCAAGCCCTGAAAGAGGGTCGAGGAGGCCGGCCTGGAGCTCAGGGAACCCACTGAGAGGCCGAAGTGACAAGCCCCGCCTCCAGACTTGAGCTGCCTCTCGCCGCGAGGTGGAGCTGCGGAGCTCCAACAAAAGCAAACAGTCCTCTAAAGGCCTGAACACGTAGGGCTGCGAGTCCGCAACCCACCACGTTTTGCACCACGAGACCCGAACGTTCACCTGCCGTGCACACCTGCGTTAGCGGCGGGACCAACCTCATCACTAGAAAATGCGCTGCGTCACTCAAGACGGTCACTAAGGTCTAATGAACGCCTCCCTGTCTAGAGCTTAGGACAGAGATAGACTTCTCACACTCAGCCTCGAAAGGCTTGCTCGGCTCTAGCACGTCCCGCATTCAGCACCGAAGGAAACTTGGCAAAGACGACTCCCCACCAACCGCGCCTGAGCATGCGCAGACGCGTCGGCGCGGTGGGCGTGGCTCCCCTAGGGCCGCCCCGTCTCCCCTCGGCGTCCCGCCCTCCGCCCCGTCTCCGCTTGCGCATCGGTCCCGGGGCGGAGCTGCTACATCCGGGCGTCTGGCGGCCTGTGGCTGTTTTGTTTTCTTGGCCGAAAGTCGGGGAAAGTGAGGCTGCCCGGCGCGACGCGACCCGGGGCTCCGGACCTACTGCACCCGCGGGGCTGGACGTAAGTGCCCAGGGGCAGTGGGGGCGCGGCCGCCGGCTGCCCAGGCCTTACAGCCTTGACTGACGCGGTCCTGTCGGGTTCCCCGCCCTGCGGGAGGCTGCGGGGTCGGGCTGTGCCCCGCTGGACCCTCCCCGGCCACTTCCTGCGTCCTGCGCCCTGTCCTGCGCCCTGAGCCCTGCGCCTAGCGGCCAGACCCCCCGGGCTCGGGGGAGCGGGGCGGTCGAGAGGGCACGGCGGGCCTACCCCTGGGTCCTGGGACCCCCCACCCCACTTCAAGGCTGGACGAGACCCCGAGAGGGAGTGTAGTCCGGCTGGGTCGCACGGCCAGGGGCGGCCGCGCCTCAGCCGGGACCCGCGTCACCTCCCCCCGGCGCGTCCTCTCCCAGAGCTCCAGTCCCTCGGCCGCGCGGAGCGTGGGCTGCGGCGGGCTGCGGCGGGCTGCGGTGGTGCCTGCAGCGGATGCGGGGCGGGGCCGCTGCGCGAACCGAAAACCAAACCGGGTTCCTGTTCCTCCGAGGGAAGGAGAAAAGGGTGGATTTTCAGAATGGAACTCATCCCACAGGCTAGTAGCCTTGGTGATCATCAGCGGTTTTCGTAAGGAAGCTAAAAATTGAAGTGGTTGCACTTTTTAGGACGTCCTGGATTTTGGGCATCCGTAACTGCTGGCTGCAGAGCAGCTTAGTGCACGGGTTCTGATTTGCGGCAGGAGTTTGGGTGTTTCTGGAACGTTAGCAAGTTACATGTAACTCAGGCTCGGCGTGGAGGAGTGTTGTATGTAATTTGTTAAAGACAGTTTAGTTCTGCTGTGTTGATTTAAATAGAAGTGGATTATTTATTTATGGTCTGAATTAATATTAACCTCAGTTACGTGCTTTTGAGGGAGGGGGTTCTGTTAGAACCAGAACTAGGGGTATTAAAATAATATTTTTTTTTAAATAGAAATGACACCAAAAGGTTTGGAAAAGGAAAAAAAATGAGGTGAAAGAAAGTGATGTGGGTAGAGGTAAAATGCAGTGGGGTGTTTTCTTTTTATTCTTTTTATATCTGGACATGAAGGAATATACGTTTTATGATAAAAATGTGTAAATTTCCACGTGAAATTTTAAAAAATCAGGTTCTATGCTCTTAACTCAGCCAAAGTTTATCACTCCCCCACTGTCCCCAGGACGTCAGTGCTCCTGGACTGTAAATATCAAAAACAAGTAATAACTTAGTTTGGAATTAAAGCAATACAAAAGAATTCTTGTGAGTTAGTCATCATTATACTGTTATTTAACATCATTTAAGTGATCACTTAGGACTGGGGATATAGCTCAATTGGTAGAGTACTTGCCTTGCATGCATATGGCCCTGGGTCCAATCCCCAGCACCATGAAAGAATAAATAAATAAATAAATAATCACTTAATGTACTAAATAGGATGTGACAGCTTTCAGAAGTTAAATTCTTAATTTTTTTCAATATTTGGATACCCACCTTTGTTCATATTACTTAAATGTACCAAAACTGTCTTTTTTTTTTTTTTTTTTTTTTATAAACAGTATTAGAGTAAACCCAGGGTCACTCTACCACAGAGCCATGTCCCCAGCCCCTCTTAAATTGTCCAGGCTGATTTTGAACTTGTGATCCTCCTGCTTCAGCCTCCCTAGTTCCTGGGACCAGATTTTGTTTTTCAAAGTTATGTGGCAGTTCATCAGAAACTAAATTGAATATTCTGAAGCAATATGTGGAACCAAAATACTTTACTTGTGTTAATTCTCTTTTGGGGGGCAGGTATATTGAGGATTGAACCCAGGGATGCTTTATCACTGAGCTACATCCCCAGTCCATTTTATCTTTTATTTATTTATTTATTTTTGAGACTGAATCTTTCTAAGTTGCTGAAGGTCTCACTGGGTTGCAGAGGTTGGCCTTCAACTGCCTCAGCCACCTTGCCCAGTTAACTGTATTAAGTTATTCTTGAGCTAGTAACTGTTTTCCACGAACACAAATCAGGTTCGAAGAGTAAATGAAAATGCTTTATTTAGTTGTGTTTTGTTTTCTTTTTAAGTGATCTGAAAAAATGTCTGGATTTCTAGAAGGTATGAGATGCTCAGAATGCATTGATTGGGGGGAAAAACGAAATACTATTGCCTCTGTTGCTGCCGGTGTTCTGGTAAGTGTCACTGATAATTTTGTCTATTATTGTGACGTGTTTTTGCTTATGTTTTGAATTCTTTGTGATGTTTCAAAATATGGACTCTTTTTTTTTAACTTTTTAAAAAATTGTTTATTTTATTTATTTGTATGTGGTGCTGAGAATCGAACTCAGTGCCTCACGCATGCCAGGCAAGTGCACTACCACTGAGCCACAACCCCAATCCCCTGGACTCTTTTTAAAATATATTTTTTATATAGTTGGACCTTTATGTTTTTCATCTCTTTTTAAAGACAGAGAATTTTTTAATATTTATTTTTTAGTTTTCAGCAGAACAACATCTTTATTTGTATGTGGTGCTAAGGTTCAAACCCAGCGCCGCACGCATGCCAGGGAAGCGGGCTACTGCTTGAGCCACAGCCCCAGCCCCTTTCATTTATTTATATGTGGTGCTGAGAATCGAACCCAGTTCCTCACACGTTAGGTAAGCGCTCTACCACTGAGCCACAACCCCAGACCCTCAAAATATATACTTTTTAAAAAACCTCTGAAATTTATTTTAATAAATTTTGATGTTTTGTTTATGGGGAGGGTTTGTTAATGGTTTGAAATTTGATTCAGTAGATTGGTTGGGTTATTTTAACTGCATGGTAAAAATGACATGATAAAACATTTTTTTATGGGCTGGGGATATAGCTCAGTTGGTAGAGTGCTTGGCTTGCATGCACAAGGCCCTGGGTTCGAACCCCAGCACCAAAGAAAAAAGAAAAAAAATTTTTTTATTTAATAAAAAAGTATTATGCCTCATCATAGTGAGTACTGTAAGATACAAGGCAGTATTGAAGAAACAATCTGGTTAAAACCAGTCAAAAGATATGATTGCATTTTTCCATAATCCAAAGTTGACTTTCTTCTCAGTCTCATAAGAAAAATAGGAGGGCATCATTAAAATATATTGCTTAGAAATAATTTTCAGAATAAAATTCTTATTTACATGCAAATTCCTCAAAGGTCTGAACTCAGGGACACTCAAACACTGAGCCACATCCCTAGCCCCTTTTTTTATATTTTATTTAGAGACAAGGCCTTGCCAAGTTGCTGGGGCTAGCTTTGAATTTATGATCCTCCAACCTCAGCCTCCCCAGTCACTGAATTACAGGCATGTGCCACCATGCCTAACCTACACCCTTTTTTTAATTTTAATTTTTGAGACAGGATCTCACTAAATTGCACAGGTTGGCCTAAACTCACAATTCTCCTGCCTCAGCCTTCTGAGTTGCTGAGATTACAGGCAAGTACCACCATACTGATTTCTTATAAACATTTTTTTAAAATATTTATTTTTCTAGTTTTCAGAGGACACAACATCTTTATTTGTATGTGGTGCTGAAGATTGAACCCAGGCCGAACGCATGCCAGGCGAGCGTGCTACTGCTTGAGCCACATCCTCAGCTCCTTATAAACATTTTTTAAAGCTTTATTATAATTTTTCCATGAAGAAAATATTTTGAAGCCAGGCAGAGCGATGCATGCCAGTAATCCCAGCTATTCAGGAGGCTGAGGCAGGAGGATCACAAGTTCCAGGTCAGCTTGAGCACTTAGCAAACCCTGTCTCAAAATAAAAAGTTAAAATGGCTGGGTATGTAGCTCAGTGGTAGAGCATGCCTGGTTTTAGTCCCCAGTACCACAAAAGAAAAGAAATTTGAATACATCAATCTGAGGGTTAAAAAAAATAGTGAGTCATTATGCATGCTAGCCAATAAAAATGTCATTAATAGCTTATGGATCTGTTTTTAACCTAATAGGAGTATCTTGATTAATCTATAATTGCTATTTTAAATAATTGCCAGAAGATGGCAATTTCTAGAGCTAACTGGGTCAGGGATGGAAACGGGTAGAATAGGTGGTTACTTTCAAAACCTTCAATCTTCTTGTCAGAATTTGGTTACTTTGGGCTGGGGATGTGGCTCAAGCGGTAGCGCGCTCGCGTGCGACCCGGGTTCGATCCTCAGCACCACATACCAACAAAGATGTTGTGTCCGCCGAGAACTGAAAAATAAATATTAAAAATTCTCTCTCTCTCTCTCTCTCTCTCCTCTCTCAGTCTCTCTTTAAAAAAAAAAAAAAGAATTTGGTTACTTTTATTATAAATTTCTGCTCAGATGATAAAAATATCTATGTATTTTTGTTTTATTATGTATCTGCCCTTGATAATATCCATAACCAAATTTCAGTTAGATAGATTATGATCTGGTATTCAAATTGTATTAAACTCATATCCGAAACCATCTAAGAAGGTACGTAATTCATCAAGAGGAGAAGCAATACTGCAGAGCTGTCATTCCATGACACTCAGAGGACTGCTAACTCTACAAACAATAATTGTTCCTCATTTTTAGTTTAAATAATTTTTCTTCATTTTAATCATGTCTTCCTATAGGCCTGTAATATCAGTAACAGGGCAATTCTTGTGTCACTTGGAATCTGATCTGTTTTTTTTTTTTTTTAGTTGTATTTGGACACAATACCTTTATTTTATTTATTTATTTTTATCTGGTGCTGAGGATGGAACCCAGGGCTCTACCTCAGATCCACAACCTCAGCCCCTGATCTAGTTCTCTTTTTTCCCATAACATTATTGTAACTTTTTCCTAGTTCACAAAGTTAGATTGAATACTTTATTACAACAATATAAAGTAACAATTGAAAGACTTTAGGGCATGTAATGCTTAACCAGCTATTAAGCCACGTGCAAATTATATGCAAGAAAATTATATGCAAGAAACAGAACATTTAAGAAATTTTTGAAACTCATTAGAAGGGACCTCTTCACTTAAATACCTTGTCTTCATTCCAGCCAGTCAGATGTGATAGTGCTGATATATATGAATAGTGAGAGAGAGAGAGAGAGAGAGAGAGATAGGGTCTCTCATTGGTGTCATCTGTTTTTGTTTCAGTTTTTTACAGGCTGGTGGATCATCATAGATGCAGCTGTTATGTATCCCACTATGGAAGAGTTCAACCACTCGTACCATGCCTGTGGTGTGATAGCGACCATTGCCTTCCTCATGTAAGTGCCATTGTTATTGACAGCACCTGCATAGGTCACCACAAGGTCAAATTGTTTTATATATAATTGCAAGATTTACAGTTTTAAAATATTATCAAGTTAAAATGTTGGGCATGATTTCAAAATCAAATAGTGGAGAAGGGCGTAAAGAAAAGTGACAGTCCTCTTTTCCAGTCTTCCTTCTGTTCTCCTCTCCCATGTCTGTCTCCCCCTTTTCTCAGCTAGACTTTTATTTCTGCACTGCTAGAATTTAAAACCTCACATTTAAATCAAAAAACATATTTAGGGAGGCTTAGACAGGAGGATCATGAGTTCAAAGCCAGCCTCAGCAAAAGCAAGGCACAAGCAACTCAGCGAGACCCTGTCTCTACATAAAATACGAAATAGGGCTGGGGATGTGGCTCAGTGGTCGAGTGACCCTGAATTCAATCCCCGGTACCAAAAAAAAAAAAAAAATCCAAGTATTTTATCTAAGGGCTTATTCATTCTTCTCTCAAATATTTATTAAGCTTTTGTATTCCAGGTTCCTGTTCTAGGTGCAGGAGATACAGTAGTGATTAAAATAGAGAAAAATTCCGGCCCTTATGGAATTATACTCTAATGAGTAGGAAGACAGCAGCTAAGGAGAAGTTAAATTCACAGCATATTACATGATGATGAGTGCAAGGAAGAAACGCAGAGAAGGAGCTGGGAGCTCTGAACAGGATGGGTAGACATTTTATATAGGATCCAGGAAGCTCTCACAAGAAGGTGGTTTTAGTAAAGACTGGAAAGAAATGAAGGAGCTGACCGTGGGGATAGACAGCAGAGGATCATCCAGGCAGATGAACAGCAGGTGCTCTACTCTACAAAGGCTCTATGGCAGGGCAACGCACGTGACTGGAGGGTGATGGGCAAGGTGGTCAAGCTTCTCTGTCACGTGGTATAGAGTAAAGCCATGTGAGGACTTTGCATCATTGTGAGCGTGATGGAAGCTGTTGGAGAGTTTTGAGGAGAGTGATGTGACCTGACTTAACAGGATCATTTCCTCCTTAGAGACAGTAGACAAGGCCAGATGCAGTGGTACACACCTGTAATTCCAGCAACATGGGAGGCCGAAAAGGAGAAGCCAGCCTCAGCAACTTAATGAGACCCCATCTCAAAAAATAAAAAAGGACTGGAGATATGGCTGAGCACACCCCCGGGTTCAATCTGCAGGACCAAAAAGAAAAAAACAATTAACACAATTCACTGCAAAGCCAGTGTGTTAAGATAGCAGTTTGAATATTGTAACTCCTCACTTCTCAACAGATTTTCAAATGTATTTTTTTTTTAAAGAAAGAGTGAGAGAGAGTTAGAGGGAGAGAGAATTTTTAATATTTTATTTTTTTAGTATTTGGCGGACACAACATCTTTGTTGGTATGTGGTGCTGAGGATTGAACCCGGGCTGCACGCATGCCAGGCGAGCGCGCTACCGCTTGAGCCACATTCCCAGCCCCTTCAAATGTATTTTGACAATATTCTTATACTCTATGAGCTTCTCAAATCCCTGCTGTACGTTAATTTGTTTCATACTTGGGTGATGCCTTTCTTTTGTTTTTGGTTTTTTTTTAGTCGATGGTGCTGAGAATCGAACCCAGTACCTCACACATGCTAGGCAGGCACTCTGCCACTGAGCCCCAGCCCCAGCCCTCCTTTCTTACTTAGTACTGTTTTTCCTGGCATTTCTGGTTGCCTTGTTGACAAAAAGAATTATGTGTGCTGGAAGGCCCCTTTCATTCTGCTAAAAGCTATTCTGATCTTGATGGTTGCTTACTGTGTGGACTGAAATATAATCATGTTCAGCTTTATGTTTTTTCCTGGAGTTTCTAGCTGCCTTTTCTCTCTTTTCTTGTATATTCTGTCATCATTCCAAAGTCTCAATGATGTTTGTTACTGTATAGTTATCCACTTTGGTCTAGAGCTCTCCATTCCAAAAGCCCCAGTCGGTTTCAGTGTGAAGTGTATAAGAGCATAAGCCACCTGTAGAGCTGCAAAGTGGAACTTCCCCTCCCTTTTGCCTCAGGATTGGGTCCACTTTTTTCCCTAGTTTCCAGTCTTCACCTTTCTTACTGATTCATGCTCAAACAACTCTAAGAAATAATATGAGAAGGTAAGCTCTCGGATCCTTGTTTGTCTGAAAATGTTTCCATTTCCCCTCATGCTGTATTCATAGGTTGGTTAGATGTAGAATTCTAGGTTCAATGTCATTTTACCTCAGAACCTGGAGTCCCTGCCCTGGAGTCATTGATGGGCATCTGATCTTATCCTTCCTATGCTGCTAAGAAGACTCAGAGGACTCACGCGTTTTTGCTCCAGGAGATTGTCTTGGATTCTGTCTTTGAGAATGAAACTGTCACCTCTCTGGCACTCCTCTTGGAGGCTACTATCTTGTTAGCTTCTCCTGTCTCTCTTTTTGCTCCACATTCTAGGAAATCACCTCGGTATCATCTTCCCACCTGAGCCATATTTTCATTTCAGGTCTTTTTTTTTTTTTTTTTTTTAATTTCCAAGGGTTTTCTTGTTTGAAGTGCCTTTATGCTTCTTCTGTGTTAGCCCTCAAGATCGACTGTTTATCTGACATACTGCAGGCCTCTGCTGTAGTGTCTGGTGGCTCTTGTTATCTACTACTTGAACTTTTTTCTTTTTAAGATCTTATAGTAGGGCTTGGGATGTGGCTCAAGCAGCAGCACGCTCGCCTGGCATGCGTGTGGCCTGGGTTTGATCCTCAGCACCACATACAAAGATGTTGTGTCCCCCGAAAACTAAAATAAATAAATAAATAAATAAATAAATATTAAAAATTGTCTCTCTCCTAAAAAAATGATCTTATAGTAGGCCTTTAATACATATAGAGTCTTTCCCGTTTTTTTTATATTTATTTTTTAGTTGTAGTTCAACACAATATCTTTATTTCATTTATTTATTTTCATGTGGTACTGAGGCTTGAACCCATGGTCCTGCATGTGCAAGGTGAGCACTCCACCACTGAGCCACAATCCTAGCCCCCCATTTTTAAATCTATATCATTAAGCATGATAACAAGCACATTAAAACATTCAAAATAATTTTGCATGTAGTTTAAGAATTTTTAGATTCAGTCTGTACCACATTTTTATGAGGAAGGAGTTGTGATTCCCCTTTACCAAATAAGAAAACTGAAAGGCAGAGGTTAAACTATTTGCCCAATAGCTACTTGATCCGGAGCCTATTTGATCACTTCAGCCCACTGTAATCAGGCTTTCTGCCTGCCCACCACTTCATTGAAACCTTTTTCTAAGGGATTTCTCCATTGCCAAATCCAAAGATGATTTTTGGTCTTATTGTATTCCACCTCTCAGTAGCACTTAACACAAATGATCACTTCCTTTTTTTTTTTTTTTTAATTGATCAATTTATGTTACAGTAGAATGCATTTTGACAAGTAGTACACAAATGGTGCACAACTTCTCATTCCTCTGGCTGTACATGGTTCAGAGTCACTCCAGTAATCGCACACGTATATAGGATATTAATATCCGTCTCTTTCTACTGTCCTTCCCATTCACACAGCCCCCCCCCTCCACACAAACCAAAGTTCCTTCCTCCTTCTCTATCCCCCTGCCCCACTATGGATCAGTATCTGTTTATCAGAGAAAACATTTGGCTTTTGGTTTTTTGGGATTGGCTTATTTCACTTAGCATGATATTTTCTAGTTCTATCCATTTACCTGCAAATGCCATAATTTCAGTATTTTTTAGTCTGAGTAATATTCCACTGTGTATATATATACACCACATTTTCTTTATCCATTCATCTGTTAAAGGGCATATAGATTGGTTCCATAGTTTAGCTATTGTGAATTGAGCTGCTATAAACATTGATGTGGCTGCATCACTATACTATGCTGATTTTAAGTCCTTTGGGTATAAACTGAGGAGTGAGATAGCTGGGTCAAATGGTGGTTCCATTTCCAGTTTTCTGAGGAATCGCCATACTACTTTCCATAGTGGTTCACCAACTTGCAGTCTCACCAGCAATGTATGAGTGTGCCTTTTCTCCCACATCCTTGCCAACACTTATTATTGCTTATATTCTTGATAATTGCCATTCTGATTGGAGTGAGATGAAATTGCATTTCTCTAATTGTGAGAGAGGATGAAATTTTTTTCATATGTTTGATGATTGATTGTATATCATCTTCTGAGAAGTGTCTGTTCAGATCCTTAGCCCATTTATTGGTTGGGTTATTTGGTTTTTTTGGTGTTAAATTTTTTATATACCCTGTAGATTAGTGCTCTGTCAGAGGTGCATGTGATGAAGATTTTTTCCCATTCTGTAGGCTCTTTCATTACATTATTGATTGTTTCCTTTGCTGAGAAGAAGCTTTTTAGTTTGACTCCATCCCATTTATTGATTCTTGATTTTACTTCTTGCACTTTAGGAGTCTTGTTCAGGAAGTCAGGTCCTAAGCCAACATGATGAAGATTGGGGCCTACTCTTTTTTTTTTTTTTTAATATTTTTTAGTTGTTGATGTACCTTTATATGTGGTGCTGAGGATTGAACCCAGTGCCTCAAACATGCTAGGCAAGTGCTCTGCCACTGAGCTACAACCCCCACCCATACTTTTTCTTCTATTAGGCACAGAGTCTCTGATCTAGTGTCTAAGTCTTTAATCCGGTTTGAGTTGGTTTTTGGGCAGGGTGACAGAGGTTCATTCTGCTACATATGAATTTTAGTCTGAGTAATATTCCACTGTGTATATATATGAATTTCCAGTTTTCCCATCACCATTTGTTGAATAGGCTATCTTTTCTCCAGTGTGTGTTTTTGGCGCCTTTGAAATAACTATATTTATGTGGATTTGTCTCTGTGTCTTCAATTCTGTACCATTGGTCTACATGTCTGTTTTTGTACCAATACCATGCCTTTTTTGTTACTATTGCTCTGTAATATGGTTTAAGGTCTGGTATTATGATGCCTCCTGCTTCATTCTTTTT